TTTTTGGGTATTTCGCCTCAAAAATTTTTGTCTTTAAAAAAGACAGAATTTCCTCAAGTCTTTTATTACAGATTGATAAATAGTGCTCCTATTTCGCAATAAGAACGAAGTATTTATCAAAAAGTAATCAAGAACTATCAACTAGAGGGTATCCTGCGACACACTTAGACTCAAGCTGTAAGAGAAAATTCCAATTAGTAGAGAAATTAATTTGAAAAATTACATTGACGTTTCGATAGCTATTTTCTGCTATCGTTATCAAAAGAACCTAAATGAACCTAAAAAAGAGTACGTTAATAAATTGTGTAACAATAGTAGGATAATACAGTATATGAAAATTCGCTCTGATAATTCGTCTGTGCAAATTTATTAACATACTCTTTTTTAGGTTCATTTAGGTTCTTTTGATAACGATAGCAGAAAATAGCTTCAACAATATAGAACTTATCTACAAGATTCAAGGTGTTTTGCTTCCGCCCAAAAAAAATTCCGGCTCCTTATAGGAGCTGAAAGTATCTATTAATTTTTATTAAAATCAACGGTTTTTTCGGTTAAATCCATTGACTGTAATCCGAGCGCTTCACCCGAAAATGGCGTTTTTTTCAAAACTGCAATCATTTTTTCAGCTATGTTTAGATTTTTCTGGGTGCTCCGCGCTTATCTCATTTTGTGGAAAACGGCGTTAGGAAAGGTTCTGAAAATTTTCCATTGCGTCCCTTTTGAAAGACAGGACATTTTATAAAGAATACCCTTTTTTGGCCGAAAACTTTCGTTTTGAGCTAAAAAATCCTAAGTGCAAATCACCCAAGTCTCTGTAAATTTCGAATAAAATACTGCTTTGTTTCAACTTCCAAACGAACAAAAGGTGCAGTTGTTCAAAAAAATTCTTACTGAGATTTTAGGGAAAAATTGGAAACTGCACAGGCTTTCATAGAAACTGAGGCTAAACACCTAAATAGGAAAATGTGTTGAATGTGAAGTTTTTGCTGCTTTTTTCTTGAAATCATCCCATTGTCTATGGCTTCAGTCGTGTGCCTGAGGATGGGGCAGCAGCAAATTGTCTTGGACCCATGTTGAAAAAGTCCTTAATTCCGCTTGCACTGATCAGACATTTGTGCGAAAAGCCCTTTGAAGGGACTATTTGGCAAAAATCTACGCTGGCTGCCTTCCTTAAATAAGCGGGACGTTCTATCAAAAAACCCTTTTTTCGTTGGAAGACTTTATTTTCAAGAAAACATTCTTAAAGTTGCAACCGCGTAAAACCCCAACGGTAACTTTTCAATGCTAAATTTGCTCAATTTTCACTGGTTTGGTTAGATCAACACCAGCAGTTTCAGTGTGATTTTCAGGCCAAAACCGCACCAGGAATGTGTAATTTGAATCGAAATATTCCCGTATTTGAGCCGCAAGTTCCTTCTAAAGCCAACAGCGTTCGAGCCCAGAACCTGTAACATAATACAAATTAAACCAGATTCCAGCTAGCAAGATAAACCCAAAAATAGACGCAATAAATAACACTGTTAAGACCCACTAAGTTAAGCTTCCATTTCAAATTTGCCTTTTACCTTCCTAATGGGCTTTATCGCATATGATGGGCGCGACAGATGCCGGCATTTTCCCAAACACTAAGCACATTTTCGGCGTCAAAGTGAAGTCCGCTCTACAGGGTGTTTCTAGCTAGCCAACCCCGATCGGGGGACAAATAGAAAATTCTTTATTGATGCCAAGGCCTTAATACATTCCCCTCATTCTGCTCATTAAAAACCGAACAAAAGGAAACTCTATACAGTGTAGATATTTTATCTAAATTGTTTATGTGTAAGGATGTACATGTTTAGAAAAGCACCGTCATAAAAATAGGAAAGAAACATCTGCGCGAACCGTTGTGGATGTGTTTATTTATCCAGTGCACTCTGTCGATGGGAAACCAGTCAATTGGACTGGGAATTTGCATTGAATGTCCATAGAATGCTGGTATTTTCAATAGTTTGGGCTTTGTCAATGAAGCATTCAAAGAATTCCTGGATTTGCCCATTAATCCTTTTTTTGCCAGTGAAACGCAACCGTGCGTGTCGATTACATGAGAAACAATGTTTTGCCCTCAAATTCACATTTTTGGTCGTGAAATTGGCACATAATCAGCGGTGAGACCCATTGGAGTAATTGCTGAAATATACTTGTTGATTTGCAACGAATGATCCTGTTTATTAAAGATAATGAGGATTTATTAGGAAAGAACTCGCGTGTGGCAAACTGCACTTTAGATTCGATTTGAGAGGACGCAAAATATCTACTTTGATGTTCAACTTCTAAGTTTTGACTGGAAATTCTTCTGGCTGGTTAAGAATGCACACTAGTGTATATCTGTATATTTATAACGTTATACGATGTCTTCTTTGCCCTCTTGGTTGCCAGTTCATCACTTGCTTCTGTTGCACTTTTGCATATGTCCACTCTATATTAGTTGTTTGTCTTTGATGGCTTCTGTTATGGAATGCATTATTCCCTTATGATTTCTTTCACTGTTCTCTCCTTCCGTTCGACGCCAAAAAGCATTTCGGTTGCTTTTAGGCGTTTTTCTACCGCTGCTATTGACCACACTCCGGATCCGCAGGTGATTATGCTTTCTACAATCGCATTGTCAATGAGTTTTTCTTTGGTGAACTGTTTTTTGGCTTCTTCTGTCCTATCATTTCTATAACGTCTTCGTCCACCAATAGAGTCGGTTCTGATTGCTCTTTTTGTAACTTTCTAATGCATCGTACGCTGCTTCTTGAATGCATTTCTTGATATCCCAAATCAAAATCAATTCCTGGGCTTCAGTCATTTATTGTCTATTTATCAATTAAAATACCTTTCGGTGTTTTCCACCATCATCAGTTTCTCTAAAATAACAGATAGTAAAAAAAAATGTTTTCATTAATTTAAAAAAACAATCACAGTTTGTCAACAGC